CAAACAAAATCATGGGAGGAATTCTGGGACTTGACACCGTTGATGTTCCATACTACAAAAAACAAATGACAAGCCATGTTAGTAATCTGTTTTGATATTGTATTCTGATTGTTTGGTCCTTAAGAAAGACAAGAGCATGGTGTAAAAATTGTGCGAGGTAAACCCCTACTTTACGCGGGTAAGTCAAACAAATACCTGGGAATTAGCAGCTTGAGTCCAACAGATATGTACATGGAGTGGCTATTTGACCATTTCTTCCAAATCAAATTAGAATATTTAGAAATATTGGTTTCCCTTGGAAACTTGAGTATTGGAGAATTAAGCTATATCTCTTCCCTGAACAACTCAAACATAGCACGAAGTAACTAACATTTTGAGCATTCAATTCGTTTGAATATCCACTGCTCATATGGTTTGGTCTGTCTCCATGTGTTGCACTTTATTTACTCATCTCATTCATTCCCTTGGTCTTACTTTGTTTTGCATGTAAAAGGCAGGGGAATAACTTGAAAACCGCAAGGTTGATTATTTATGCCCCTGGCTCGACTTTAAACACATATCTTTTCCCTAAGTTATTGCAATTTTCTCTGCAAATGTGTAATAAGTGTCAAGAGTAAATAAAGCATTGTTGTTGTTGTTGTTGAACAAACTGTGGTGCCACAATGGGAATCAACAACAATCTCAACCCAGATAATAATTCTTTTATGACACCAGTTGTGGGATCTGAACCCAGGCCATATTGGTCGGGGACAAGCACTCTTACTACTGTGCCACCTCTGCTCACCAAACTTTCCATGAATATGATTACTACAACTTCTGTTTATCAGATGGACAAAGTTAACAATACATAGGACAATCAAGAATCAATAAGCAAATTCATAAAATTTTATGGTCACTTCTTTAAATAGAAGGTAACATGTAGGAATACGGAAATGCGCTATTTTGAGCATGAGTGACATATTAAAGCCTCCCTTATTCTCCAGTATGCTTGGCTGGCTCACTTGGTTGGCAAGACCATATCCTCCCAACTCCTCAAAAAGGCCCACTAGACCCAGTCTCTTTTCTCCTAAAGCAATTAAATGGTTGGTCCCTAAAGTAAATGATGCACTCCCTACCTTTTGCACCAACTTGTCTGTAACATAACCAGAAGTTATACTGCCAAAAAGTCCACCAATTTCTAAAAAGCTCATTGCAATGCTACCTAAGGAATGAAAAACAATCTGTAAGTTGCAAGGCCACAAAACAAATGGCTTGTAGAATAATCAATAGATAGACAATAATTAATGTACTGGGTCTACAGTCTAGCTCTCCACTAACTGACAACTCTCCATAGCCACAGCCTCTTCATGACAAACAGGAGTTTTCATTCTAGACAGCCTGACATATCTATGTGTGAACACTCAAAAGCCTCCCTTTCAAGACTGCAAACCATTTTCCTTTACAACGACAGCTTTACAACTGTATAAGTTAAGGCATGAATTCAATTAGTATCAGGATTTGAACTTAACTGTACTTTATCGTTATTTTCTTTTCCTCGAACATGTAGCTGTCAAGCTGAAATAAAGGTTACAAATGTACAGGGTGTAAAGATGTTTGTAACAATTATATATGTAGGCTCATGATTCGAAAAAGTTGTATCTTTTTTTACAGACATTGAAATCTTATATTTACGAAGGAGTTTACATCTGAGATTTAACGAGGAGTATTTTCTGCGAGGGAATTATTGGAATTTTAGAGTATTTTGATTTAATGAAAGGGAGAAATTATATACTGATTTAGCTTAAAAAACCGCCCACGTTTATTAGTACACTCACTGTCATATTGTGATTTTCCTACTGTCTGCATCAAGAATAGTTGTGTCCACTCGCCAACTCCTGTTTTTACAAATAACGTCAAAAGATATCCAACACTTAAAATCCACAAAAATGGGCTCAGTAACAATGCTGCTATCTGCTCTCTCTTAGTCATTGCTGTTTTGTGTTCAGTTCTTGATGATTTTGCAGTTCTTTGGTTAAATTCATCCAGTCCTATCTCTGACGGAGAGTCGCAAATAACACAATAAACTAAGACAGACATAACAGCCGTGCTGAAGCCAGGAGTGATAAATCCTGCCGACCAGCCATAGTTTGTAGTCAGAAATGTTGTTACTACAGGTGATATACTGGTTGCTAGGTTACATCCAGCTGTGAGAAGGCTCCAAAGAGTACCAAGCTGAAATTAAAAGGGGTATACACTTTTTTAGTTTCAAGCCCAAACACTGAAGAAGAACTAAGATAGAAAACATGGCTGCGTTAAAGCACAACAGCATGCAACAAGCATGACATTTCTTTTCTCTAGTTAAAAAAATACTATGCATTATAACATCAGTCCTCCACTTCGCTGCAGTTACTGCCACCCAAAACTGAATATGTCTTTTCGCCTGTACGCGATTGGTCTCACTGCATTACATGACTGAATATGCCCCAGCTAAAACTGGGAATGTCCAAGTGATACTCCCCAATTCTCAAAGATCCCATGTGTTATGAAAAATATTTGAAGGATTATAAACACAATAGCCTCCATTTGACTTATAAAAATTAACCTCTAACTAACCGAGCATGAGGGCTCC